CAGGGATGTTGTGAGCAGCCCAGGAGTTGGCCACAATATGGTGAAGGCTTTCATCATTACAAGCATTGGTTTCTTGTTCAAGAAGAAGCTGGTTGGGGGCTTTAGAAATATGGTGCCAACACACAGCCAATCTTATTCCCCCTCACATGTGAGTTGCTCACCTGGGGAGGAGATGACACCAGGATGCATTTTGGAGATGAAGGCCAGCCAGGAGATGCAGTGTGATGCTTTGGGCAATGTTTTTGCTGAGAAACCAAAATTGCATGAGTCCTGCCATTCACGTGGATGTTACTTTGAAATTTATGCCTTGATGGGTCAGAGCTGTTTTTGCCAGCAAAAGGGAGACCTATTCAATATATGGTTGGTGGTCATAATGTTATGGCCGATTCTAATGTTGGGTGTCCTACACTTGTATGTAGATGTAGTTGCATAGGCGTGATATTCCACTACTACATTTGTAAAACCCGCTATAAATACATTGAAAAATGCATTAAATATCCATTTAAAAAAATTTTTTTTTGCACATAGTCGTCTATATAACAATTGGCTTCCAACAATCTGGGATTTCAGCGCTTGGATATCTTGTAGCTATTACAGTAAAGTGACAGACTTCATGGAGACTTCGCAGTACACAGAATTGCTGATCTAACATCATTTATGAAGCTGCAGCAGCACATTTAGAAGATTACTGCACGCATTGTCTCAGAGTCAGCTGCACTCATTGGCTATCTTGATGCAGGGAAAAGAAGGTAAAGTGGTTCCCCAGGATCAAGCGGGATGGCGTTTTGTGAGTACATCATGGAACACCTGCAAGTATGCAATGCAGAAGACAGATGTATGGCATACCTTCTCAGGGTAAAAGAACAGGTTTTGTCTTTGATAAGAGAAGGCAGCTATGAAAATCCTAATATAAGTGAGGTGAAAGATTGTAGACCATATCTGCCAAGAAAGGAGTTTAAAATTTATGATGGGCAAATATCAGATTGGGGCACATGTTCCCAGGTAAGCATTGTGGCTGCTAGCAGAGTTAACCACTTGCCCTTCGGAAGATTTACCCTCCATGACCAGGACATGTTTATACATATAGCGCTGAGCTACTTTAACTGACACAAATTAAATTTACATTATTTATATCAACAAATAGAGCTTTCTTTTGGTGGTATTTGATCACCACTGGGTTTTTTATTTTTTGCACTATAAACAAAAAAAACGACCGAAATTTAAGGAAAAAAAAAACAATATTTTTTACTTTTTGATATAAAACATATCCAATAAAAAAAAATAAAATGTCTTCATAAATTTAGGCCAAAAGGTATTCTGCTAATTATTTGGTAAAAAAAAATCCCAATAAGTGTATATTAATTGGTTTGCATAGATACTGGAATATGTTTTTTTTGGGGGGGGTGATCAGCGACTTATAGTGGGACTGTACTAGGGGATATGCTGGTTTGTGCAGAGAATAAAGGTACCAGCAAATAATTGGAAATGATGACATGTACGTGTGACCCCCCTGCAGATACTTACTAAATTGTAGTAATTAGAATATCACTCTACTATTGCTATTATACATATCTCTATCCTAAAAACAATCTTTTTTTTTTGTATTTAGGATAATTTTTGTTGTATACGAAGATTGCTTTCATTGCCGTTTCTCCTTCCCGGTTATTTTCATATTTCTGATCATGCACAGTCTTGGTCACTCAATTTTATACAGATGAATACTACACTGACTGAACGTAAATTGTTAATTTGGTTATCATACGAGAAAAAACTTAGTCCTTGTCCCTTCAGATAAATGAAACTGTCATAATCGGCTCGAAAACTGTACTATCAGATTATTGGATGATTGCTCCAAAAGTGGTATTTTTCATCTGATATTCTCATCATGTGTATGAGGCTTTAAGTTAATTTACTAAAGCCAAATGTTTTCACTTCGCTAGAGCATTTTCCCCCAGCTTAGTAAATGAGGTGAAGCTATGAATAGATTATCGGATGATCACACAAAATGTTTTATTTTTCTTCCGATTTCCTCACCAATGTGTTCTAGGCATAAGGATTCGTGGTCACAGATTTTTACAGGACGTTGTTATACCTAAGTAAAATTTCCCAGTGCAAACTTACGCCCAGGGAGCCACACATGCAAAATAATTCTTTGCATCAGCATTTACCCGAGAATGTGTGTCTGATGTATTTTCTGAACACAAAACATCTGCATTTGGAAAATACATTGGACATCCATGTGTGGGTAAACGCTAATGTAAAGAAAGCGTGTGTCTTACTTGCCACGTTTGGGGTGCCAATACCAAAAAAAGGGCATTGTAAGGGCCACATGCATTTTTTGTGCGTTTCATAAAAGCATGCAAAAGCGTGCAATTTTGCACGCATTCATGAAATAAATCCGTGTGAATGCAGGGTAGTGCTACCCCCTTGAGAGCCGCTGGCTTTGGGTCCCCCTTATCCCTGCACAGCCAGGCAACATGCATTTTCCAACTTCTATTCAGAGTCAGTAACCAGTCCTTGGGCTTGTTTTTGTTGTTTTATTTGGGGGTAAACAACTTGGATAGGGTCTAGGGGTATATGGGATGCCCAACTTGCCTTGAAACCAATACTCTGAGGAGAAACGTCCTAAATTTTCTACAAAAATGTAGGTTCCTGGACTTTCTACTCCTTCCAGATTGGCATCAGTCTCCTAACAGTGCACAATGTTTTAGCCCCCTTAATACCAGCACATTTCTTCATTTACAAAAAATTATGTCAAAAAATTAGATATTCAGGATTTTTAACCCCAAAGAGGGGTCATTTTGGGGTTTTTCACATAGTCCTGGCAAGTAAGAAAAACAGTGGTCATTAAGTACCAGGAAAAGAAAGCTCTGAACAAAAAGTGATGAGAGATGGCCATACACTGATATATATATATATATATATATATATATATATATATATAGTTGTGTGCAAAATGATAGCAGTGTGTTGAAAAAAGTGAATAAAGTTCAAAATCCTTCTAATAGCTTTTATCTCCATACACACAAATGCATTGGGAACACTACACATTCTATTCCAAATCAAAACATGAAGAAACATATATCAAATTTGTGTTGTTCCTCCAAAAAAAAAAATTGAAGAAAAGTGAATATTAGACTGTTCAAAAAAATAGCAGTTTTTGTATTCTTTACAAACTCAAACATTCACTATATAAACTGAAAAATGTTTGAAGATTTTGCTTTCCTTTGAATCACTTAATTAATATTTAGTTGTATAAGCACTGTTTCTGAGAACTGCTGTACATCTGTGTTGCATGGAGTCAACCAACTTCTGCCACCTGTGAACAGGTATTCCAGCCCAGGATGATTGGACTACATTCCACAGTTCTTCTCTATTTCTTGGTTTTGCCTCAGAAACTGCATTTTTGATGTCACCCCACAAGTTTTCTATTGGATTAAGATCCGGGGATTGGGCTGGCCACTCCATAACGTCAATCTTGTTGGTCTGGAACCAAGATGTTGCACGTTTACTGGTGTGTTTGGGGTCGTTGTCTTGTTGGAACACCCATTTCAAGGGCATTTCCTCTTCAGCATAAGGCAGCATGACCTCTTCAAGTATTCTGATGTATTCAAACTGATCCATGATCCCTGGTATGCGATAAATAGGCCCAACGCTGTAGTATGAGAAAGACCCCCATATCATGATGCTTGCGCAACCATGCTTCACTGTCTTCACAGTGTACTGTGGCTTGAATTCAGTGTTTGGGGGTCGTCTGACAAACTGTCTCCGGCCACTAGACCCAAAAAGAACAATCTTACTTTTCATCAGTCCACAAAATGTTGCGCCATTTCTCTTTAGGCCAGTCAATGTGCTCTTTGGCAAATTGTAACCTCTTCAGCACACGTCTTTTTTTCAACAGTGGGACTTTGCGGGGGCTTCTTGCAGATAGCTTGGCTTCACATAGGCGTCTTCTAATTGTAACAGTACTCACAGGTAACTTTAGACCTTCTTTGATCTTCCTGGAGCTGATTGTTGGCTGAGTCCTTGGCATTTTGGCTATTCTTCTGTCCATTCGAATGGTAGTTTTTCACTTTCTTCCACGTCTTTCAGGTTTTGGTTGCCATTTCAAAGCATTTGTGATCATTTTAGCTGAGCAGCCTATCATTTTCTGTACTTCTTTATTTATATATTTTCCCCTCTCCAATCATCTTTTTAATCAAGGTACGCTGTTCTTCTGAACAATGTCTGGAACGACCCATTTTCCTCAGAATTTCAGAGAGAAATGCACTGTAACCAGCATGTACACCATTTCCTGCCTTCCTTCCTTAAATAAGGGCAATTATTGCCACCTGTTATTCAAAGAATGAATAACCTCACTAATAGAACTCCACACTGCTATTATTTTGAACATGCCCCTTTCAATTCGTAATTCAATGACACAGAATCAGCAGCATGCATGTCATGACTGTTGGGTCTGTTGGATTTCTATTACTCTACTACACCTGCTAGTAAATTATTTGCCATGTAGAAATATCATTTCTACCAAAAACAGTGATTGATCAGGTTAGTGATGTCTGACTGCTATTATTTTGAACACAACTGTATATATATATATATATATATACTCTGAATTTGGAACTTGGTTGGGGTAGAGGAGGTACTGGGCTACTCTGGAATTTAGAGAACAAAAGTTGGAGGGCGCCCTCTCCTAGCAACTAGTCCTCCTTGAAAAGCTTGAAAATACCCTTAGCAACAGCTCTTGGGAATTGGGCCACACTAGGCACCAAAGGATGGTCCCAGGCCAAGCAAACCTCAGTCTTAGTGCACCAGGGGTTAACAAACAGCATTTGCCCAAATTTCAGGTCTGTACTCACAAGTCATTGGGTGCTGGGTTGCCTCTTTCAGCCTCAGGCAAACAGCTAGGTAGTGGACTTCCCCAGACTGGATCCTAGGTGAAATACCCCTTCTAACTTGCAGTGTGTCCAAAGATAGGGCCCCAGCCTTAAAGTGTTACTAAACTCAGGACCCTGCATTCACTATATCTGGTCTCCCACAGTACACACAACATGGAAATGCAATTATTGTAGTAAATATAAACTGCTAAATTCCTTTTGTCACAGAGTGCCTGCTCCTCTTCCAAACCCCCCCCCCCCCCCCAGGCCAGACCCCACAGTCAGGACTCCTGCTGCTGTCCCTAGAAAGCTGACCGCTGTGAGGGCCCAGGCCTGCTGATCGCTGCTGTCCCTGGAAAGCTGACCGCTGTGAGGGCCCCTGTCTCAAGCTGACCTCTGCTGTCCCTGGAAAGTTGACCGCTGTGAGGGCCGCTGACCGCTGCTGTCCCTGGAAAGCTGACCGCTGTGAGGGCCCCTGTCTCAAGCTGGCCGCTGTGAGGGCCGCTGACCGCTGCTGTCCCTGGAGAGCTGACCGCTGTGAGAGCCCCTGTCTCAAGCTGGCCGCTGTGAGGGCTGCTGACCGCTTTTGTCCATGGAAAGCTGACTGTTGTGAGGGTCCCTGTCCACTGACCGCTGTGAGTGTGCCTACAAGCTGCCTGCTGCTGAGTGTCTGCAAGCCACCTCCCATGAGTGTCCCTACAAGCCGCCTGCTGCTGAGTATCTGAAAGCCTCCTCCCGTGAGTGTCCCTACAAGCCGCCTGCTGCTGAGTCTCTGCAAGCCTCCTCCCGTGAGTGTCCCTACAAGCCGCCTGCTGCTGAGTGTCTGCAAGCCTCCTCCCGTGAGTGTCCCTAGAAGCCATGAACTGCCCCTATTGTGTGCTCAGATTACCCGAGAAGCCATGAACTGCACCTATTGTGTGCTCAGATTACCCCGGCCATGAACTGCTCTATTGTGTGCTCGGATTACCCTTACCTGAACTGCCCCATTGCGTGCCCGGATTATAGCTACCTAGACTGCCCCCCCTGTGTGCTTGAGCCATCGCTACCCGAATCAGGCCCCATAGCCAAAGTCCCGCTGAGCCTGATGTTGTCCCTAGAGAGCTGTGTGGGAGCTGTGCTGAGGTCAGACCCCGCAGCCAAGGTCCCGTTGAGTCCCCGTGAGCCTGCTGTTGTCCCTAGAGAGCTGTGTGGGAGCTGTGCTGAGGTCAGACCCCGCAGCCAAGGTCCCGTTGAGTCCCCGTGAGCCTGGTGTTGTCCCTAGAGAGCTGTGTGGGAGCTGTGCTGAGGTCAGACCCCACAGCCAAAGTCCCGCTGAGTCCCCGTGAGCCTGGTGTTGTCCCTAGAGAGCTGTGTGGGAGTCGTGCTGAGGTCAGATCCCACAGCCAAGGTCCCGCTGAGTCCCTGTGAGCCTGGTGTTGTCCCTAGAGAGCTGTGTGGGAGCTGTGCTGAGGTCAGACCCAACAGCCAAGGTCCTGTTGAGTCCCCGTGAGCCTGCTGTTGTCCCTAGAGAGCTGTGTGGGAGCTGTGCTGAGGTCAGACCCCACAGCCAAGGTCCCGCTGAGTCCCCGTGAGCCCGATGTTGTCCCTAGAGAGCTGTGTGGGAGTTGTGTTGAGGTCAGATCCCACAGCCAAGGTCCCGCTGAGTCCCTGTGAGCCTGATGTTGTCCCTAGAGAGCTGTGTGGGAGCTGTGCTGAGGTCAGACCCAACAGCCAAGGTCCTGTTGAGTCCCCGTGAGCCTGCTGTTGTCCCTAGAGAGCTGTGTGGGAGCTGTGCTGAGGTCAGACCCCACAGCCAAGGTCCCGCTGAGTCCCCGTGAGCCCGATGTTGTCCCTAGAGAGCTGTGTGGGAGTTGTGTTGAGGTCAGATCCCACAGCCAAGGTCCCGCTGAGTCCCCGTGAGCCTGATGTTGTCCCTAGAGAGCTGTGTGGGAGCTGTGCTGAGGTCAGATCCCACAGCCAAAGTCCCGCTGAGTCCCCTTGAGACTGCTGTTGTCCCTAGAAAGCTGTGTGGGAGTTGTGCTGAGGTCAGATCCCACAGCCAAGGTCCTGCTGAGTCCCCGTGAGCCTGCTTACCGTGAGTGTCCCTACAAACTGCATGTTGCGGATTGCCAAGAACTGCCCTGATTGAGTGCCTTCCATAGTTCAATAAAGCTTTGTGTGTTTACCATCTTCTTTGTGTGTTCTGTCCTGCCTACACTTCCGTCACACCTTTTCTCATCATGAGTTAGCGCAGTCTTGTAACTTCTATCAATGTCCAGCAGAGCACTGGTAAAAGCTTGTAGGAGGAGTTTTCATTCTCCCCTAATTGTCCTATGAGGCTGCATGACCTGTGACCCTCTGTCTGGACAGCGCTGATTGGCCCTGTACTGATCACATGCACTCTCCCAAGAAAAAAAAACTCTCTAGCAATACACACCAAACTGAGCATGTGCAGCTTGCCCCCTAAGCTCTGTTCTATCAGAAGATGGATTGGGGGCAGTGAAAGAAGGGGAGGATCAGAGAAGACAGCATCAAACTTACTTTTTACACAATACAGAGGATTAACCCCTCAGGTTCCATAGTGAGTATAACAAGCATGCTTTACTGCATATATAGACTGAATTTACTGTTGTGGGTTTAGTAACACTTTAAGGAAGCTGGGGACCTTGCTGAACTCCTGGTAAACGTGCAGAGTAGGGATGGGTGCTTCTGCTGGACCACAACCCCAGATTGCAGCAGCCCTAGACTATTTGTGTACTCTCTAGCTTCCTTCTGAGCACGCCATCTCAGGGATTGGGTATGCAACCTGTGGGACCCTGATCAACCCAAAGCAAATAACCTCCGCTTCACTGATTACAGAGGAGTACAGCAAACACTAAATTTTCCTACAGCCTAGCACCTACCTAGGACAATGCTACATGAAAAGGCTAAAACCTCTGCCAGTTTTTTTACCATATGTGGGGTTGATTCATTAAATGCAAATAGACTGTGCACTTAGCAAGTGCAATTACACCCTGTAAGTGCAGTTGCTCCAGAGCTTAGTAAATGAGTTGAAGCTTTACTTTGCAAAGAATACCCAATCACGTGCAGGAAAAATAAATAAAGAAGCATTTTTGCTGACAGAACAGCCCTCTGGAACTTGTATTTCTGAACAGCAGGACTTGTTATTTATGGCTCAATTCATGGTTAGAACTCTTAAATGGAACCTTGCACTAATTCTTTACCATCCATCAAGGACGTGTTAAATCTTCGCCTTTTCCTTCACTATCTTTGATGTGACCACCCTAAGGAACTACCATCCACCCGTTGACGCAACTTCACATCAGTTGGACTCCACCAAGCGCGCAAAAAGACATTATAGAACTTTTATAGGGGATAATGCTAATTATAACTGAGAATTCTCTTTATTTCACATCTAAACCTTGTCATCAAGCCCTGACGACTCACAGTGCGCTTTTTTGTTATTGATAGTCATTCCTGCACACTGGGGATTCAACAGTTCCCTCACATTGGAGGCAGTGGATTATTTCTGAGAGCAGGCCTGCTAATAGTCACTGTTGCTTCATTGTGAATGTCATTACCTTTGCTCACAATTGCCAAGAGTGATCATACTTGCTGTCTATATCAGTGTTATTTTGTTATTCTTGACTCACTTACCTCCAATTCCAATAAAAAAATTCAGTTTGGTATATACTACTCTGTGTGTGATTCATTTGGGTCACCGGAGCACGGTGCTGTCAGCAGAAATTGGGCTTTCAATGAGAGGTCCGGATTGACAGGGAACCCAAAAATGATTAAGCAACCATTAACCACTTCCCATCCGGCCCATGTAGATAAATGGCCGGACGGGAGCACCCCGCATCTATTGCCTGTGCATGCTCCCTGGAAGAGCGCGGCACCGCGATCGGTGCCCTCTGTGTCCGAATACAGATCGCTGTACAGGACTTCTGTGTGAGGTCCCAATTTATGTGATCACCGATTGGCCAATCAATGATCACATGATTAGTAGTAAACAAGATGTCACTTCCTGACATCATTGCTTACTACAGTACTTGTGAAATCTGTGAATGATCACAGAGGTCACATGGTGCAAGGCTATTCCCAACAGCCTTGTACCATGTGACAAGCTGTGACCAATCACAGCTCTCACAGTATTTCTCAATGGCTGCAGGAATGCAGCCAGAGAGGAAGAGAAATGATTGCTTTTACAGCCTTCATGGGTGTAAAAGCAATCAGTGTAAAAAAAAAGAAAAAAAATCTTCATCACCCCCCACAAGTAGTACAGTGTCACTATGGTGACACTGTACTGCTAGGGTGACAGTATGTAAAAAAAGCAAAACAAAACATAAATATAAAAAAAAAAAAAAAAAAAATTAAAAACATTTTTTGAAAAATTATAATTTTTGGTTGTACACTAATTTGGGTTATTTTTTTTTTACTAAAAATATAGATGAATACATTTTGGCCAAGATTTATTAAGAAAGACTATTTATTTGCAAAATTTTATAAGAAAAACACTTTTTTTTTTCAAATTTTTGGACTATTTAATTTATATAGCAAAAAAATAAAAATCCCAGTGGTGAATAAATACCACCAAAATAATTTTTTTTCTGTCTCAAAAACAAATGCTGAAAAATTCATATAGGTACAACGTTGCATGACCAGGAAGGGGGTGAAAGTGTCCGCACTTGATTACTAGATGAACTATTCTACAACTTGAATAACCTAGTAGCACAATAACCTGATATTAGTCTACAGCAGAGGGTTCATGTTTTAAGAAGGAAGCAGCCAGTATTTATTGTTTTTTTTGTAATATATCTTCTAGAACACTGGCCTGATGTTGGCAGGTATAATTTGCAGCTAATGCTGGCTACTAGGAATATTCTATAACCAGCAGCTGCTTGGCAACCAGCTACTTGTTTCTAATTTTTCCACTAGAATTAATACCATGGTAAGCTAAGGACATATTTTGACCTATTTTCTACATGGTTTCCCTGGATCACATGCCTGTACCAAGACAGAGTGTGCTCTATATAAATCTGCTCTGATGAGCCCATCACAGATGCTTTATAAGCAGGGAATCTCTAAAATGGATGGGCAGTCTGATAAACAAATCTGCATTAAACTGCTTAAAACATGTACTGATTAAAGGGATAGTTCACCTTTACCATAAACCACCTATGCAGATAAGGGGTGTCTGTAGATAAAAACAAACTGTGCAGCTCTGACTAAAGTTGAATAATACCCTTACTATAGATGTAGGCCATTTACATCCCTCATGACCTGACTGGAATACCCTTAGGACATTGCTAAGTGTGGCCTAGTCATTACTGCTCACCTCCTCCATCACAGGAGTGAGCTCTTAGATGCTGAGCTCAGAGCTACTACATCATGGGAGAGAAAAATCATGTGAGGGGGTCTGAATCAGAGAAAAAGCTCACTCCTGTGATGGTGGGGATGAGCAGTAATGACTAGGCCTCATTTAGCAACGTCCTGGAAGTACTTAGCAACCGCCTGGGAGTATTCCAGTCAGGCTTCAAGAGGTACTGCACATAAATGTCCAACACCTATAGCAAGGACAATATTCAACTTTAGTCAGAGACACAGAGTATTTTTTTTATCCACAGACGACCCTTACCTGCATAGGCAGTTCTTTGGTAAAGGTGAACAATCGCTTTCATTTGGTCGTAAATGGTAATGGATATCTCCTGATTTGTTATTGTCAAAGGAAAACTGTCCCAAGATAGTAAGAAAAAAATCATTTTTTTTTAATTTAGCTATATATTTCTTGCTACTGCTATAACCTACCACCAAAGAATGACTCAAAATAAATTCTTCTGCTCCTGACGATCACAGTGATACCACATATGTGTATGTTAGTTGTTGTTTGAACCCATAGTACAGCTCAGAAACAATATTGTGCATTTTTCTTTTTATCCTACCTACACTGACACTAACTGACACTGATACTAATCTAAGAAATAAAAAAAAATATACTGACCCACTGACCTTTTACCCTGATCTCGACTCAAACAATAACCCTGGCACTGACCTAGATCAAACCTTAATCTAGGTATTTTTAAAATGATTTTTTTTATATTATTTTAATTATAATTAATTAATTAATTTATTTATTTTTACACATTGTTGTCTTTTTTTTCTCTCTCTGCAAGGAGAGAGAGATACAATGTATCTCTCTGATCCATTCAGAGAGAGAAAACACCTGGAATCGGGGGTCCCGATTGTTAGTACGGAATCCGGGGCTCTCAGTGAGACCCCTGTCTCTGTGCTGGGAGCGCACCACGTGGTGCTCTCCCAGCACAAAGACAAATATGCAAATATATGGCCTCACAGAAAAAAACCCAGTTCAGTGGGCCCACATTTTTGCATATGCTCGACGCCAAGAGGTTAAAGCAGTAAAAACTCAAAAGCAAACATTTATTATATTGTAGCTTACCAATTCTTACATGTTATGGCTGCGTTAGTTTTTTTTTTAGGCTTTCTTTCTTCTTTTTTCATCTGGTGATCCAGCCAGTCTGTTTTTGAAGAAGCTCTCTACTGGCAGGGGTGCCTTCAATGATCAGCTTTTATTTATTCATGTAAAACCTTTATCCAAAAAGGAAACAACTGTTTTGTGTAACTGATTATAAAGTATTAGCTAGAGTTTGTCTTCAATTTCTGTATTTAAATCTGCTAGTACAGTTAACTCTATCCTTCCCTCCAGACTGACAGTACTGCTGTCCAAAGGTGCCCCCTGTGCTCCGTCATCCAGAGTGGAGGCACTCTAATACAGGAGGTGTGTTGCTGTCCAGATCGCCAGGTGAAAACAGCTGGAAAAAAGCCTAAGAAAAGAAATAAATGCAGCCACCGCATCTAATTATTGGTAAGCTGCAATATATTATATATTGTTTAAAATGTCCATTTAATAAGCATCTCACAATTTGTTTTATAGAAAATGGAGGTTCTATATACAGTATTGTGCTGATAAAGCTGGCAAAATCAGGCACAGACTCAGCTGTACAGTCTACAGTGCAATCTCTGGGAAGAAGATCTCCTACTCAAAACATTTACACCAAAAGAAAGTATAAAAATAAAAATGCACACAAAGCATTTTAAAAGCCAGACTGGACTTTTGGTTTTAATCAGCTAAATGCATTCCAGGTGCATCAAAATCCAATATCTACAACAGTCTTACAGTTCATTTTCTTTAGAGTAGAAAAGCCTGTCTCCTGCCAGCATATTGCAAAGCAGCGGTCCCTCTACAGAGGTCAGACACACCACCTGCTGATTCTGAATTTTCCAATGAAGATGATTAATCTGACTTAGCTCAGCTGAGTCATAAGCAAACACATTCATCTGATTACCTGGCATATTTCAGAATACAGAAAAGGCTCCACACACTGGGTGTTTAATAATGATGGTAGCATTAGCTGTGTAAAGTCACATTCA